TTAGCTTTAGCTTAGCTTTAGCTTAGCTTTAGCTTAGCTTTAGCTTAGCTTTAGCTTAGCTTTAGCTTAGCTTTAGCTTAGCTTTAGCTTAGCTTTAGCTTAGCTTTTGCTTAGCTTTAGCTTAGCTTTAGCTTAGCTTTAGCTTAGATTTAGCTTAGCTTCATCTTAGCTTCAGCTTAGCTTTACCTCAGCTTTAGCTTAGCCTTACTCTTACTACTAATGCTGCTTTCCTAGGGGCTCCAACTCCTAGGTAGGGTCGCACTGGGATAATCCTTGTTCCCTACCTAGGCTCTGCCTGGAAGGGTGCTTACTCTACCTAGGCTCTGCCTGAGGCTCTACCTAGGCTCTGCCTGAGGCTCTACCTAGGCTCTGCCTAGGCTCTGCCTAGAAGGGCCGGGCAGTGGAAAGCGCCCCGGGCGGTTCCCCCAGTATCCGCCCCGCGGTTCCCCCAGTTACGTCCCCTTAGCTTAGCGTTGCTTATCTCATCTTAGCTTAGCCTATTTCATCTTAGCTTAGCTTAGCTTCATCTTAGCTCAGGTTTATCTTAGCTTAGCTTACCTTCATCTTAGCTTCGCTGAGCTTTATCATAGCAGAGCACATCATAGCATAGCATAGCGTAGCATAACATAGCGCAGCACAGCATATCATAGCATAGCCGCCCAGCATAGCATAACATAGCGCAGCATAGCATAGCATATCATAGCATAGCACAGCACAGCACAGCACAGCATAGCACAGCGCAGCATAGCATAGCATAGCATAGCATAGCATAGCATAGCATAGCAGCAAAGCAAAGGCAAAGCAACAGCAGCGACAGCAAAGCAAAGCACAAGCAACGCAAAGCAAAGCAAAGCATTAGCATGGGTGTAATTCCCTACCTAGGCTCTGCCTAGAGGGTTAGCTTAGCTTAGCTTAGCTTAGCATAGCGCAGCGCTGCATGTGCATAGCATAGCATAGCATAACATAGCCAAGCATAGCATAGCATAGCATAGCATAGCATAGCATAGCATAGCAGAGCAGAGCAGAGCAGAGCAGAGCATAGCATAGCGCAGCTTAGCATAGCATACCATAGCATAACATAGCATAGCATAGCACAGCGCAGCATGACATAGCATATCTTAGCATAGTACAGCATAGCATAGCATAGCATAGCGCAGCATAGCATAGCATAGCAACGAATGCTGCTTTCCTAGGGGCTCCAACTTCTAGGTAGGGTCGCACTGGGGTAATTCAAGCAGTTCTAATAGAAAGGCTCTGTGACATGTGCTGACGTGGCCACTCAACTATCAGTCATGAGGAGGATGGCGAGCCTTGCGAAGAGGCTCCGCGTGTGCTCCCCCAGTTCCTTCTCGTCCATCCCTCCTTCCTCCGAGGAATCTTCGTGCCATTTTGTCCAGGTTGGCTGGAGGGTGCGTGGTCATGCATGGCCTTCTGGTGCCAGGACGCTCGGCGAGTGCGGTCATTTGTACTCCACATCCGTCTCGCAGAGATAAACATCATTGCACACCCCAGTCACGAATCCGACATAATTTGATTCGTGAGCACATGCAGCTCCTCCTTCTGGGTTGGCTGGAGCAGCCACGCTGGAGGCTGAGGACGAGGAGGGTAATTATGATTGGGATGATGATGACGACCATGCTGACCACGAGGACGGCGATAATGGTAACGGTAACGGTACTGGTGATGGTAATGGTGATGATGATGATGTTCTTGACGATGGCGATGGCGATGGCGATTGCGATGGCGATGGCAATGACGATGACGATGATGATGATGATGATGATGATGATGATGATGATGATGATGATCATGACGATGATGATGATGATGATGATGATGATGATGATTGTGGTGATGATGATGTTGCTGCGAATGGGATGTTGATGTTGGTGATGATTATGATGGTGTTGATGTTGTTGACGATGCTGATGATGACAAGGGTTATCACGTTGACGACGATCTTGAAGATTATGATCATGGTGGTGATGATGATGATCACGAATCCGATGATGATGGATGATGATGAGACTTATCATGATGAGTGTAAACTGATGATGCCGATGATGATGATATAGATGATGCTGCTGCTGATGATGATGGTTATGATGGTAATGATGATGATGGTGATGAGGAGGAAGCATCTGATGATGAGGATGATGATGATGATGATGATACTGATGATGCTGATGATGCGGCTGCTGATGAAGATGGCGGTCATACTGATGATGATGATGATGATGATGATGATGATGGTGATGTTGATGATGATGAGGATGAGGATGTGGATGAAGATGAGGGTGATGCTGATGATGCTGATGCGGATGATGGTGATGATGATGACGATGATGATGATGCTGATTATGATGATTATGATGATGATGATGCTGATGATGCTGATGATGATGATGATGCTGATGCTGATGCTGATGCTGCTGCTGCTGCTGCTGATGATGATGATGATGATGATGATGATGATGATGGTGATGGTGATGCTGATGATGATGCTGATGATGATGGTGATGGTGATCCTTATGGTGAGTATCCCATAAGCATCGCACTGTTTGATCAATCCACGTCTTCTGGGACGTACTCAGTTTTCACCGATTTGCCCTGGGGTGCTTTTAACTTGTGCAAGTAGTTCCATCAGAAGGGCTCTGCGACACGTGCTGACGTGGCCACGCAACTATCAATTATGAGGAGGATGCGGGTGAGGGTAGTCAGATGAGTATGAGGATGAGGGAGAGGATGAGGATGGAGAAGAAAAGGGAGGGATGGAGGGGGATGGGGGAGGGAGACGGGCAGGAGATGAGGGACGCGAGGAGGGGGAATGGGGAGGAGGGGGTGGGGAGGTGGAGGAAGGGTACACAGGAGAATTGGGAGGAGGTGGATAAGAAGGAAAGGTAAGCAGATTTCGCGGGCCCACCAAGCAAAAATACTGTACCCCGTCGCCATTTTGGCTCAAGATCCGGCCCACGCGCACAGACTAAGGCATCGGCAGCGCCACCGCTTCCTCACCTAAGCAGCAGAGATGGCGCCGATGATGAAGTCCACCGTGATGACCAAGAGCGCCCTCACCGCAGCGCTGGCGGAGGCCTGCGAGGTGAAGAGGGGCGTCATCGGCACGGCCTTGAGCACTCTCGCAAGCATTGCTTCGACTGAGGCGAAGAAGAACGGCAAGTTCGTCATCCCGGGAGTTGTGATGATCAAGACCCGCCAGAAGAAGGCGACCAAGGCGGGGAAGCGCGAGATCTTCGGCAAGGTCGTCATGGTGAAGGCGAAGCCGGCCAAGACCATCGTGAAGGCCTTCCCCGCGAAGGCCCTCAAGGACGAGTTCTGAAGGGCTCCTTGTCTGTGGCGAGCCTTGCGAAGAGGCTCCGTGTGTGCTCCCCCAGTTCCTTCTCGTCCATCCCTCCTCACATCTGAGGAATCTTCGTGCCATTTTGTCCAGGTTGGCTGGAGGGTGCGTGGTCATGCATGGCCTTCTGGTGCCAGGACGCTCGGCGAGGGCGGTCATTTGTACTCCACATCCGTCTCGCAGAGAAAAAACATCATTGCGCATCCCAGTCACGAATCCGAAATAATTTGATTCGTGAGCACATGCAGCTCCTCCTTCTGGGTTGGTTGGAGCAGCCACGCTGGAGGCTGAGGACGAGGATGATGATGATGCTGATGATGATGATGCTGATGACGACGACCATGATGACCACGATGACGACGATAATGGTAATGGTAACGGAAATGGAAATGGTACTGGTACTGGTACTGGTACTGCTACTGGTAAGTGTAATGGTAATGGTAATGGTACTGGTAATGGTAATTGTAATGGTAGAGTACCGATGATGATATTGATGATGCTGATGACGATGAAGATGAAGATGACGATGAATCTGACGATGACAATGATGATACTGATGATGAACATGATGATGATGATGATGATGATGATGATGATGATGATGATGGTGGTGGTGGTGGTGGTGGTGATGGTGGTGATTGTGGTTATGATGCTGGGGGTTCGGGTGATACTGCTGATGATGACCGTCCGGTGCCAGGACGCTCGGCGAGGGCGGTCATTTGTATTATACATCAGTTTCGCAGAGAGAAACATTATTGCACACCCCAGTCATGAATCCGAAATTATTTGATTCGTGAGCACATGCAGCTCTTCCTTTGAGTTGGTTGGAGCAGCCATGCTGGAGGCTGTGGACGAGGAGGATAATGATGATTGGGACGATGATGACGACCATGATGACCACAGTGACGACGGTAATGGTAATGCTAATGGTAGCGGTAATGTAAGGGTAATAGTAACGGTAATGGTCATGGAAATGGTTATGGTAATGGTAATCGTATTGGTAGCGATGATTCTCATTCTGATGATGATGACGATGACGATGATGTTGCTGCTGATGATGCTGATGCTGATGTTGATGATGGTGGTGGTGGTGCTGAGGATGATGATACTGATGATGGTGATCATGATGATGATGATGAGGAGGAGGAGGAGGATTATGATTCTGATGATCATGATGATTACCACAACGACGATCTTGAAAATGATGGTTGTAATGATGATGCTGATGCTGATGCTGATGCTGATGATGATGATGATGATGATGATGATGATGATGACCCTTGTGTGAGTATTGCATGGACGTCGTACTGTTTGATGAAGCGATTTCTCGTGTGAAGTATGCAGTTTCATCGAGTTGTGCCATGGTGCATTTTCCTTGTTCAAGCAGTTCCATCAGAAGGGTTCTGCGACATATGCGAACGTGGCCACTCAACTATCAGTTATGAGGAAGATGAGGATGAAGATAATCAGGTGAGGATGAGGATGATGATGAGGATGAGGATGAGGATGGAGAAGGCAGAAATGGAGGGGGATGGGGGAGGGAGACGGACAGGAGATCAGGGACGCGGAGGAGGGGGAATGGGGAGGAGGGGGCGGGGAGGTGGAGGAAGGGTACACAGGAGAATTGGGAGGAGGTGGATAAGAAGAAAAGGTAAGCAGATTTCGCAGGCCACCAAAGAAAAATACTGTACCCCGTCGCCATTTTGGCTCAAGATCCGGCCCACGCGCACAGACTAAGGCATCGGCAGCGCCACCGCTTCCTCACCCAAGCAGCAGAGATGGCGCCGATGATGAAGTCCACCGTGATGACCAAGAGCGCCCTCACCGCAGCGCTGGCGGAGGCCTGCGAGGTGAAGAGGGGCGTGATCGGCACGGCCCTGAGCACTCTCGCAAGCATTGCGTCGACTGAGGCGAAGAAGAACGGCAAGTTCGTCATCCCGGGAGTTGTGATGATCAAGACCCGCCAGAAGAAGGCGACCAAGGCGGGGAAGCGCGAGATCTTCGGCAAGGTCGTCATGGTGAAGGCGAAGCCGGCCAAGACCATCGTGAAGGCCTTCCCCGCGAAGGCCCTCAAGGACGAGTTCTGAGGGCCTCCCGGTCTGTGGCGAGCCTTGCGAAGAGGCTCCGCGTGTGCTCCCCCAGTTTCTCCTCGTCCATCCCTCCCCCCTCCGAGGAATCTTCGTGTCATTTTGTCCAGGTTGGCTGGAGGGTGCGTGGTCATGCATGGCCTTCCGGTCCCAGGACGCTCGGCGAGGGCGGTCATTTGTATTCCACATGCGTCTCGCAGAGAGAAACATCATTGCACACCCCGGTCACGAATCCGAAATGATTTGATTCGTGAGCACATGCAGCTTTTCCTGCTGGGCTGGTTGGGGCAGCCACGCTGGAGTCTGAGGACGAGGAGGATAATGACGATTAGGATGATGATAATGATGATGATGACGATGATGATGAGGATGAGGAGGATGATGATGACGATGATGATGACGAACATGGTGACAACGGTGACGACGATAATGGTAGTGGTAATGGTGATGGTAAAGGTAATGGTCATGGTACTGGTAATGGTAATGCTAATGGTTTTGATGAAGGTACTGGTGATGGTATTGGTATTGGTAATGGTAACGGTAATGGTAATGGTAATGGTGATGGTAATGGTAGTTGTAATGGTAATGGTCGAGTAGCGATGGTGATGATGACGAGGACGATAATGATGATGCTGCTGCTGATGATGATGACGATGAAGATGAAGATGACGATTGATGTGACGATGGTAATGATGATGATGATGATGATGATGATGATGATGATGATGATGATGATGATGATGGTGGTGGTGGTGGTGGTGGTGGTGGTCAGGGTGGTGATGGTGGTTATGATGCTGGTGGCTCGGGTGATAATGCTGATGATGACCTCCCAGTGCCAGGACGCTCGGCGAGGGCGGGCATTTGTACTACACATCCGTTTCGCAGAGAAAAACATCATTGCACACCCCAGTCACGAATCCGAAATGATTTGATTCGTGAGCACATGCAGCTCTTTCTTTTGGGTTGATTGGAGCAGCCATGCTGGAGGCTGAGGACGAGGAGGATAATGATGATTGGGACGACGATGACGACCATGATGACCACAGTGACGACAATAACGGTAATGGTAACGGTAACGGTAACGGTAACGGTAATGGTAATGGTAATGGTAATGGTAATGGTAATGGTAATGGTAATGGTAATGGTGTTGGTACAAGTAATGGTCCACCCACCAAACCACCCCATCCCAACCCGAAGGCTCCAAATTGCTCACCATTTCCAGTGGTAGGAGGGTCGGGGAATGTTGAGAAAACACATATGGTACCCGTACCCCCCCCAACCCGGAATTCGGGTCTTCGGGTTGGGTTGGGGTGGTTTGGTAGGTAGTCAGTAATGGTAATGGTAATGGTGATGGTAATGGTGATGGCATTGGTATTGGTAATGGTAATGGTAATGGTAATGGTAACGGTAATGGTAGTGGTAATGGTAATGGTAATGGTAACGGTATTGGTATGGCAATGGTAATAGTATTGGTAGTGACGATTCTGATTATGATGATGATGACGATGATGACGATGACGATGACGACGATGACGATGCTGCTGATGATGATGCCGATGATGATTATGTTGAGGATGATGATGATTAGGAGGAGGAATATGATTATTATGATCATGATGATCACGGCATTGGACGATATTGAAAATGATGATGATGATGATGATGATGATGATGATGATGATGATCCTTGTGGTGAGTAATTCATGGTCGTCGTATTGCAAGCGATTTCTCGTATGAAGTACGCAGTTTCATCGAGTCCCGTGGTGCATTTTCCTTGTTCAAGCAGTTCCATTAGAAGGGCTCTGCGACACGTGCTGACGTGGCCACTCAACTATCAGTCATGAGGAAGATGAGGATGAGGATAATGAGATGAGGATGAGGATGAGGATGGAGACGGCAGAAATGGAGGGGGATGGGGGAAGGAGACGGGTAGGAGATGAGGGACGCGGAGGAGGCGCAATGGGGAGGAGGGTGCGGGGAGGGGGAGGAGGGTACACAGGAGAATTGGGAGGAGGTGGATAAAAAGGAAAGCTAAGCAGATTTTGCAGGCCCTCCAAACAGAAATACGTACCCCGTCACCAGTTTGGCTCAAGTTCCAGCACACGCGCACAGTCCAGAAGGCATCGGCAGCGCCGCTGCTTCCTCACCCAAGCAGCAGAGATGGCAGCGATGATGAAGTCCACGGTCATGACCAAGAGCGCCCTCACTGCAGCGCTGGCGGAGGCCTGCGAGGTGAAGAGGGGCGTGATCGGCACGGCCTTGAGCACCCTCGCGAGCATTGCGTCGACTGAGGCGAAGAAGAACGGCAAGTTCGTCATCCCGGGAGTTGTGATGATCAAGACCCGCCAGAAGAAGGCGACCAAGGCGGGGAAGCGCGAGATCTTCGGCAAGGTCGTCATGGTGAAGGCGAAGCCGGCCAAGACCATCGTGAAGGCCTTCCCCGCGAAGGCCCTCAAGGACGAGTTCTGAGGGCCTCCTGGTCTGTGGCGAGCCTTGCGAAGAGGCTCCGTGTGTGCTCCCCCAGTTCCTTCTCGTCCATCCCTCCCCTCATCCGAGGAATCTTCGTGCCATTTTGTCGAGGTTGGCTGGAGGGGGCGTGGTCATGCATGGCCTTCTGATGCCAGGACGCTCGGCGAGTGCGGTCATTTGTACTCCACATCCGTCTCGCAGAGATAAACATCATTGCACTCCCCAGTTACGAATCCTAAATAATTTGATTCGTGAACACATTTAGCTCTTCCTTCTGGGTTGGTTGGAGCAGCTACGCTGGAGGCTGAGGACGAGGATGATGATGATGATGCTGATGATGATGACGACGACCATGATGACCACAATGACGACGATAATGGTAATGGTAATGGAAATGGTAATGGTAATAGTAATGGTAATGGTAATGGTAATGGTAATGGTAATGGTACTGGTACTGGTACTTGTACTGGTAAGTGTAAGTGTAAGTGTAATGGTAATGGTAATGGTAATGGTAATGGTAATGGTAAGGGTAAAGCATCGATGATGATGATAATGATGATGTTGATTACGATGAAGATGCAGATGACGATGAATATGACGATGATAATGATGATAAGGATGCTATGATGATGAAAGTGATGATGATGATGGTGGTGGTGATGTTGGTGATTGTGGTTACGATGCTGGTGGTTCGGGTGATAACGCTGATCATGACCTTCCGATGCCAGGACGCTCGGCGAGGGCGGTCATTTGTAATACACATCCGTTTCGCAGAGAGAAACATCATTGCACACCTCAGTCACGAATCCGAAATGATTTGATTCGTGAGCACTTGCAGCTCTTCCTTTGGGTTGGTTGGAGTAGTCAGGCTGGAGGCTGAGGACGAGGAGGATAATGATGATTGGGACGGTGATGACGACCATGATGATTACAGTGACGACGGTAATGGTAACGGTAATGGTCACAGTAACGGTAATGGTAGCGGTAATGGTAGTGGTAATGGTAATGGTAATGGTAATGGTAATGGTAATGGTTATGGTAATGGTAATGGTAATCGTGTTGGTAGCGATGATTCAGATTCTGATGACGATGATGATGACGATGATGATGCTGATGATGATGTTGATGATGATGATGATGGTGGTGGTGAGGATGATGATGATGCTGATGATGGTGATTATGATGATGATGATGATGATGATGATGATGATGATGATGATGATGAGGATTCTGATTCTGATGATCATGATGATCACGGCAACGACGATATTGAAAATGACGGTGGTAATGATGATGATGCTGATGATGATGATGATGATGATGCTCTTGCTGATGCTGATGATGTTGATGTTGTTGTTGATGATGATGATGATCCTGGTGGTGAGTATTTCATGGACGTCGTACTGTTTGATGAAGCGACTTCTCGTATGAAGTACGCAGTTTCAATAAGGAGTCCCATTGTGCATTTTGCTTGTTCAAGCAGTTCTATCAGAAGGGCTCAACGACATGTGCTGACGTGGCCACTCAACTATCTGTCATGAGGAAGATGAGGATGAAGATATTCAGATGAGGATGAGGATGAGGATGAGGATGGAGTATGGAGAAGGCAGAACTGAAGGGGGATGGGGGAGGGAGACGGGCAGGAGATGAGGGACGCGGAGGAGGGGGAATGGGGAGGAGGGGGCGGGGAGGTGGAGGAGGGGTACGCAGGAGAATTGGGAGGAGGTGGATAAGAAGGAAAGTAGTGCAGATTTCGCAGGTCACCAAACAAAAATACTGTACCCCGTCGCCATTTTGGCTCAAGAATCCGGCCCACGCGCACAGACTAGAAGGCATTGGCAGCGCCACCGCTTCCTCACCCAAGCAGCAGAGATGGCGCCGATGATGAAGTCCACCGTGATGACCAAGAGCGCCCTCACCGCAGCGCTGGCGGAGGCCTGCGAGGTGAAGAGGGGCGTCATCGGCACGGCCTTGAGCACTCTCGCAAGCATTGCTTCGACTGAGGCGAAGAAGAACGGCAAGTTCGCAAGTTGTGATGATCCCAGAAGATGCGACCAAGGCGGGGAAGCGCGAGATCTTCGGCAAGGTCGTCATGGTGAAGGCGAAGCCGGCCAAGACCATCGTGAAGGCCTTCCCCGCGAAGGCCCTCAAGGACGAGTTCTGAGGGCTTCCTGGTCTGTGGCGAGCCTTGCGAAGAGGCTCCGTGTGTGCTCCCCCAGTTCCTTCTCGTCCATCCCTCCCCTCATCCGAGGAATCTTCGTGCCATTTTGTCCAGGTTGGCTGGAGGGGGCGTGGTCATGCATGGCCTTCCGGTGCCAGGACGCTCGGCGAGGGCGGTCATTTGTACTCCACATGCGTCTCGCAGAGAGAAACATCATTGCACACCCCGGTCACGAATCCGAAATGGTTTGATTCGTGAGCACATGCAGCTCCTCCTGCTGGGTTGGTTGGAGCAGCTACGCTGGAGGCTGAGGACGAGGATGATGATGATGATGCTGATGATGATGACGACTACCATGATGACCACGATGACGACGATAATGGTAATGGAAATGGAAATGGTAATGGTAATAGTAATGGTAATTGTACTGGTGCTGGTACTGGTAAGTGTAAGGGTAAGGGTAATGGTAATGGTAATGGTAATGGTAACGGTAAAGTGCCGATGATGATAATGATGATGCTGATGACGATGGAGATGAAGATGACGATGAATATGACGATGATAATGACGAGAATGATGCTAGTGATGATGACAATGATGACGATGATGATGATGATGATGATGATGATGATGATGATGATGATGATGGTGGTGATGGTGGTGATTGTGGT